AGTACTTAAAAATCAAGCGTGCTCTCTTTTCATCCATTTACTACTGCATGCTAGCTAGAAAATACTAGTATGAAGTTTCACTTACTAGGTATCCCTCCCACTGCTTAGGTGTATTTCAAGCTATACTTAACCAAATTGTATTTTTCTACACTGGAGAGTGACAAGTTAAAAAGTCGCGCCAACTATTCTAAAAACAAAACAAATTAAGGGGGGGGAATCCTTTCTCAATTCCCTTCCTTAATTGTAACTGTGAAAGACTATGACAGATAATGAAATACAGGTAGACCAAAAGTTAGGTGAGAGTTGAGTGGAATAAGCCACAGAAAGATGACAGGTAAACTCAAAGACGAGTTTTCATAGACATTATGAAAAAGTCGCTATTGCATTCTCTAGCTCACTCTTTTGAGGACTCTATTTTTGTACAAATTGACTCAAGCCTTCAGAAGGAGTGATCTTTAAAAGGGGGTGGAAAGGAATCAAAGGTGTTCCAAATCTGGATGAGTGCAACACAATTTTACTCTAAGTTAAAACTGTATAGTAGCAAAACAAACTGTTTACTAGATTTATTTATTTAAAGATACCTCCACAAAAACCACCACAGTGGTAATCATTCTGTAGCTGTGCGCAAGAGATGTTTTGAGTCAAGGAAATGTCAAGATGGAGAATACCTGCGGCTATAAATACGGCCAGTAGTTTTCTCTGCAATACCATCTCAAATGAAAGTGAATTTACTACTTTATGCCATGTCATAGATTTCTAGATTTCAAGTCCTCCTACTCAGCCAAATCTACTGAGAAACTCTATGTAAGTCAGTGAAGCAGAATTTAGAAATGAGAGGTCCTTTGTATTACTAGCTGTGCACGTGGTCATACTCACAAGGTAGCATCGTTCTTACCGTATGAATTGTGATATTACATTTTTATTGGCTGTCAGACCTTCACACCAGAAGAATTCAACTACTGTTACTATCATTTGGAACTTCATGGATAAAAAGCTGAGCATCTGACAGATGTAGTAAGTGCTACTTTTTGGGTTGCACACAGAGCCTGATGGAAGCCCCGTGCCTGTAAGGAAACCTACCACACAAGAGCACCCAGGCTGTGATCCATGATTAAGGCTCAAAGCTGTTCCTATGGAATTACACAGGGACCATCGCTCTTAAGACACAGCAACAGTCAGTGAGAAACCACAACACAATTCTTAACTCCTATTTAAAGTCTGCTTAATAATGCAGCATTTAATAATGCAATCAGTGCTCCTCCATGCTAAGTCTTCTCCAAGTCACTGGAGAAGCATTGGATTCTCCTCCCAACTTCTGTGGCCTCTCTCGAGGTCAAGGATGGAGGGTTTGTTCTGGGTCTGGTCAAAACGTGGATTTAACATCACATTTTCTCACACAGCTTCAGTGTGCCACCTCTGTCATATGCAACATGACACTCAAAATATGAGCTCTGTTCAATGCCTGCCATCCATCTGCCCTATTTGTCCTACGCAAACTCAACGTACGGCAGCAGCTCAGCCCCTCACTCCACGTTTTTCTCTGTTTTGCTATCTCATGTTTTGTCACCAGTGTCACCAGATCCCAGCCTTCAGCACCATTTCTCTGCATCTCCCCATGGGATGAAAAGCAACTCTTCCCCCTGCAGGGCCCAGGACACCTGGCCTTTCAGCTAACCTGTCTACACCCGCCTACCCTCCCTCATTCCAGCCCCTACCCCCGAGCCTTACTTTTGCTCTGACACTTGGAAGTCATGACTTATAAACAATTCTGAAGACATCAATAGTGTGTATAAAAGCAGCATCCTGAGCACATTTGTCTGTTTTCAGTCTCTCTCAGAACCTAAGTACTTTGTAGCAGGAGCCACCTTCCTTCCATTCCAGCATGTGCCCAGTGCTTTGGAGCACCACTCTCATATCTACTTGCACTGGCATCATTTGCAGTCTTCATGACAATGTTTTGCAATCCAGCAGTAAAAATGGACAGGAAATAGGTTCCAACCATGTTCCAGTTGGGCTCACATCAAAACAGGGGTAGTAGATAGCTGTCCTTCAAAGTACATTTTGCTTTAAATAACTATGTCAGTAGGCAGACATCCTAGTGACGGGCATCTTATTTACAAAATAAAAGTCCTAACAGGCTTACATGAGTTGCCAGCTGAAAACAGAGCGTACAGGACCTCATAACTTATGGCCTTTCCTGCCAAGAAAAAACAGCCTAGGTTTATTAAGGGGGAAGGAAACAGAGACAAAAAAAAGACAAACAGCATTGCATGTGGCAACATCCTTGTGCACTTAACCTTGCAGCGCCGCAGCCGATGCACAGTCAGTGCAGGGAGGCACCGACATCCAGCGGCCGTCTAGGGGCTCCGCAGCCCTTCTCCATGGCGTGGGGCAGGGCTTCACCCACCACGGGTGCTCACCCACCAGCCTGCCCGGGAGATAAGCAGCTAAACACTACGCTGTTAACTCGAATGTAACTTTGGAAGTTCAAATGTCTAAATGCACAAGTACCATCAATCGGGCATTCAGCATCCCAAGGCAACCTCTTGTCTAGCTGCCAAAAGTTAAGCTCGAGCCAAGCAACAACAGTCTTGAAAACTGCGGAGGAGGTTAAGAAGCTGCAGATAATTTAAAAGTTTAATTTCATACCAGCTCCAGATCCAGTAAGGTAAGACTGAAACGTTCAAAGTTTTCTTCTCTCAGAAAGAAGTCAGCATCTTCTTTGTTTCTGCTCTCCCTACAGTCTCCTGTGACAAGTGTGCAAACATAGGCACATCGTCACTTATGTATAATAATGCTTTATTCCTACTCAGCATTCTTCATCTAATGAAAATTAGAGTAAATGAGTAAAATGTTATGCCATTAGAAGATAGGTACCCCTGCAAATTAACTAGACAGACCTTCATAAAAGTGTTCGGTACCCAGAACTGGGGACCACTTCTTTAAGAGAGCCGGTTAGGGGCCAAAACACGCATTTTTTCAAGGCAACCGAACCTCAAGTCATGAAGTACCATAAAACAAAGGCAGTAATAGCAGACAACCTACAATAAGAACAAAATAATTACCTTACTTTCAGAAGTCTCCCTACCAACACTGCCTTTTGAAACACAAAGAAATGGTTTGTTTGTACAACTGTAGCTGAAGTCAGAAAAACTTTTTGGAATACAGACAGGGAAAAGGAAAAAAAAGATACAGATACAACTGCAGAAGGGCAACAGCACAGAACCACATCATCTGACCCCAAAAGCAGATGAAAACAAAAAGACAGCACTCAAACAATAAAGCATATCACACCCTACCCATTTTAAAAATACAAAAAAACTTGTGTGTTGAACTCCTGATTTCATCCAAGTGTTAGGGTTAAGAACTTTCAACAACTTCATCTGGCTGCTATAACAGCTCTCCTTCCTCTATTTCTCTCTTATTACCATAATGGTGTATTTGAAATACAAAGACAGCTCTGGCAAGCATTTTACTCTTACCTACTGGTTCTCAGCTTCACATACAGAGTTTGTTGGCAGGTATATCTCTCTGGAAATACTTCCAGAGATGTTATCCCCCCAACACTATATTCTTCTTGTTTATTGCAAAGTCATTAAAATGCTGATTCACAATTATTATGCAGTATTTCTGTGCAATAGAGGGTCTTGAATTATGACCATTGTTGTGGTTTAACCCGGCAGGCAGCTAAACACCACACAGCCGTTGGCTCACTCCCCACCCCCTGCAGTGGGATGGGGGAGAGAATCAGAAAAAAAAAAAAAAAGGAAAATTTGTGGGTTGAGATAAAGACAGTTTAATAGGACAGAAAAGGAAGGGAAAATAATAATAATGATAATGATAAAAGAATATACAAAATAAGTGATGCACAATACAATTGCTCACCACCTGCCGACCAATGCCCAGCCCATTCCCAAGCAGCGGTCACCGCCCCCCGGCCAACTCCCCTCAGTTTATGTACTGAGCATGACATCATATGGTATGGAATATCCCTTTGGCCAGTTTGGGTCAGCTGTCCTGGCTGGGCCCCCTCCCAGCTTCTTGCTGGTATGGCATGAGAAGCTGAAAAGTCCTTGACTAGTGTAAGCACTGCTTAGCAACAACTAAAACATCGGTGTGTTATCAACATTATTCTCATACTAAATCCAAAACACAGCTCTATACCAGCTACTAGGAGATAAAGTAGGAAGTACTTTATACTTCCTAGTATCTTCCAGCTACTAGGAAGATACTAGGAGAAAAAACTCTATCCCAGCCAAAACCAGGACAACCATCAATCACTGAGAACATACAGTCATGAACAAAAGACAGGTGTATTCAAAAAACAAGCCATTTTGCATAAAAGTTTTTAAAACATTAACATGAACACCTATGACAGATTCACTAATATTTTCCACTTTAAAATTTTACTTCAACAGTATATTATTAAAGCTGCCTATTTCTTCTTTTCCTCAAACACTTTTTCCAAGGAAACTCAAGAGTTTGACATTATACATAAGCCCAGTGACATTATCATCTGCACTGCACAAAAGAAAGAAAAAAAAGAGTAAAACATTAACGATTTCTGATAAAGTTTTTCACGATCTCTGAAAATGGTTCTAGGAGCACAGGTAAAAATATCAAAAAACATAAGAGCATATAGTTTTAGAATATTTTACTACACTTAATAACCTATTAATTTACTACTTTCTACAATAGATGTAAAAGTTGTTATCAAACAATAATCCAGAATTTTACTTGGCAGCACCCAAAAAACAAACCACAAAACCTTGATAGATCATTTCTCCAAATGAGGTTTACAGTACATCGAACTGAAGAATTCAATCACAACAGCAGAGCTGTTTTCTCCTAATAAACCAATTATCAAGTAGTAAAGTAAAAAATATACCAAGAAAACACGAAGCTTTTGTATCAAATATACACATACACACAATTCTCATAAGTAAAAATAAAATCCATTGTCTACAGATTTTGAAGTGAGAGGAGAATGTAGCCATTACCTCTTGGTTATCTTTATTCTGATTTGCCCAGAAAATCTTATGATAAAGTGTCTCCATTGAATTGCTGGAATCTGATCTGTCAAAACAATGCCGATCCAACACTTCTAAGGTGTGCAAAACTCGGCTGATGGTCACCCCTAGAGATGGGAGTTAGAGAGGAGGTGGGGGGGGGAGGAAAAAAAAGATTTACACAGGAAGACACTGCATTACATCCATCTGTCAAATCTATTACTAGAATTAAACATGGTGCAACAGGATTATACTCAAAGAAGAAGAACAGATGTAAACCCTAGAGCTCCCAACGTTTGTTTCATTTTGAGTTGTCTTACCTGCAGTTGATTCTTGGCACTTGTCAAAAGACCACCGCACCTCCACAGCACGACCTCTTTGTTTTATCTGCTGTTCTACTTCATAAATCTTTGCCCGAACCTGTAAAAAAAAAAATAGTTGCTAATTAGCTAGTAGTGGAAAGTCTCAATTTTCATTTCAAGCTTGTGACAGCTTTCTCAGCAGGAGCAAGGTACCCTATAGTGTTCCACAACACTCCCTACATTTGGGAACAACAAACTGAAGTACGTTCTGTTCAAATGTTTTTGTCTGTTACGAATCATCTTGTACAATAAAATATCTTTTCCTTACATTCAACCCAGCAAAAGTTAACTTTCAGCGTGTCTGAAAAGTTGCATCTCACAATACAGTACACCAAGCTTCCTCTTATTTGCCATTTTACATCTTAAAGTAATTTCAGTTTAATAACAGAAAACATCTGAACATAAGTAAAATTCATGATATTTTCACAAAATCAGTACCTGAATGAAGTACAAAGTAAGGTCATAAAAAACTAGCACAACACTAGTCTTGAAACTAGACCTACAGAAATATCTGAACTTGGCTGTAGTCCTAATGATCACAAATCATTATTTAGGATATAAAACAGATCTTAATAATCTGACAATGAAAAAAGCTTACCTGCTGATTAAATGCTGAATTTCCACCTGGCATAGGTAAACTAGATGGAGCAACTTGAAGTAAATCCAGAGGTGAGCCTGGATTAACGTTCTTATTTTCATTTGTGGAATAATTCCACACCAAGGCACTTGGGCAACAAAGAGTTACAGTCTGCAAGCAATAGTACAAAACAGATGTAATTTCTTTTTCTAAACATGTGTGATAGACAATACCAACAATAAGAGTCCATGAGACTAGAATCACTTTTGGTCTAACTACTACAGTGAAAGAAACAAAAAGACAGGCCTATGCACAATTACTTTAAAACATCCATTTTAGGAAATTCAACTACTGTATTATTTTCCTTCTCCATTATTAAAAAAATTATTTAAGTATATATGTGTTCAATTCCCATTTGTATTGCTTTCATAACGCCGTCAAAGAACATCACCAAAGGTTAATTTCAGTCAGATCCTTTCTGTGAAATGTGAATGGGCTTTAGAAAAAAGAAGTCATTTTGGTGTTCAGCTTACAGAAAGAAGCTACATGTGAAAAATTAAAATTTAAGAAATTAATTAAAATCAACTCTTCTGTCAAGATTTTAAAGCACAAAAGAGTCATTGAAATGCACCATGAACTTAAGATTTACTTCAAAAGAAAGATTTTGCATTGACAGGCTTCAAAACAGTCATTTTACAACGGCTTGTCAGCAGGTACCGATTACCCTGTAGCATCTGGTATTGTACAGAGCAAAAGCAGAATGCTTTGGTGTTTGGGGGTCAGACCTTAAATATCATCTAAAATGATGGAAGTTGATTCATCTTATAGATGTTTATTTTTGAGACTGCTGGATTACTTCTTGGGAAGCTCCCCCAGTCCAGATCTGGATTACAAAGCAGCACCTTAGCAAAAACATTGCCTAGAGACAAGCTCCTCTGAAAAGATAGAGAGCTTGTCTGAACCCAGGCTGTCCTCTGGACCCGCTTGGTAGCACAAGAAAAAGGGGCAGAAAAACAAGCAGAGAAAACACACACACATACACAAACCCAAATAGTACAGGAAGAGCAGAAAGATTACCAGCTGTGTTGCTAGTAGAGAAAAGCTGCAAAGCTGCCAGAGTACACAAGCATACCCCAGCAGCCCAGGATGGAGACAAACGCTGACGTTCCCAGGACAGATCCATGTTCAAGAGGAAAAAAGTCACAGCATGCTGAGAGCCAGATGGGATCTAACTTCCTGACACACGCACCCTCAGCAGAAAGAGGGATGTGGATACTCTCCCACTTTCTTTCCTCAGATAGCACCAACTGAGCCTTCCCCATGTACAACCCGGCCTGCCTCCAGGCTCTGGACTTCCCACACTGCGATGACTGTGGGAAAGCAGCAGCCCTCGGAGAGGGAGCTGCGTACCACAAGAAAGTGCTCTTTTACTGTGGGAGTGGGCCAGCACTGGAACAGGCTGCCCAGAGAGGTGGTGGAGATGTTAAAGATCCAGCTGGACATGGTCCTGGGGAACCTGCTCTAGTTGACCCTGTCTGAGTGGGGCGGGGGGGTAGACGACATCATCTGAAGAGGTCCTGGCCAACCTCACCCATTCTGTGATTTTGGGATCCCGCCAGAATCAGCATACTCCTGGTACCATCACCAGGACATCTCTGTGCAACCCCCAGAGACAGACAACTGAACAGACAACAGCGGGGGATTTGAGGAAGTCTCACCAGGTCAGCACTCAGGAAGGCAAACAACCGCAGCTCATCATACAAGTCCTTTTTTAGAAAATAATTACTCTCTTGACAATTCTGCTATTGCCGAGCAACAAGCGCAAGTGAACAGTCTCTTCTGTTCCACAGTTTTTAAAACTGTTGGTAAGGCAACATAAACTGCTCATAATTCTGACAAAACCAAAATGAAGCAGCCTGCAGTGGCACCAAGCATCGGTGACAAGCTGGAAGCAGCAAGGAAATCCTCAAAGGTTAGAGCTTGCAGGAGTCAGTATGGTGCTGTCTTCTGTCCAGCCACACTCAGCAGAAAGTGGGGGTCTGGCAGAACTGCGCAGGTTCACTGGTGATGAGAACGTGATGAGATTTGCAGAGCATTACTGCAACCAGAACCACTCCATCACAGAGGGAAGGCTTGGTCAACACTGGCAGCAGAGTCACTCCTTCCCAAAGCAGAGGTGCAGACAGACACATGGGCAGCACAAGCTTCTCCAGGTGGTTCCACCATCGCGCCTCAGCCGGTGTGGAGAATCCACCCTCCCGCTCCCCCCAGACCCACTCAGTCCTCACCCTTTAATGGATGCAGGTACATTTCAAACCACGACTAGCACACCTTGTCACACTCAAAAGACACTCTGTTTTCCAATAAACTGAATGGTTATAGCCTTGAAAACAAAGAGCAACAGAAGATTGGCCTACCTGCAGCATACAACTAAGTCCATACACCAGTGGACGGTGTTGAGGGCAGGAGAGGAAATCTGAGCAAGCCAGCTGTACGGGGCTCACCACGGGACCAGGGGCAGTCGGACTTGGGGCTGCTAGAGGAGGGTTACTCGCTCCAATAATCATATGAGGAGAGTGTGCAGCTACAAGGTTAGGACCATCACTTAGCAATAAAGATAGGCGTCTGGCACAAAAATAAGCAAGGCGACGGGATAGATAAGCTGACTGAACAAATTCTTCCGAATACTGAAATTTAAAAAAAATGCATAGTTTACTACACAGTCTACTCCACGTATTAATTTTCTTTAACAATCTAACATTAGACATGCATAAACTAGAAGGGATCACCTCAAATATTTAAGAGCCCAGAAGTTAAAAAAGAAAAGAGCAGCTCAAATGCAAATCTATACTTCTGTCTCTTAAAAATTTCATCTGCCCTCCAGGACCAGTTACAGTAAGAGAATCCTTCTACCAATTAAAGTTAAGGATTATAAAGCATGAACATTTTAAAGGTGTTTATAAATTTCAAACATGCACCGTGCAATACATTCCCCTAAATGTCCTAAGTAAAAATGTTTATATAGATTTTACCACCGCAAATATTAAAATCATTTAACATGTATGAATCACACTTATATTGATTTTGGCTTTAAAACATGCATGTACCTGCAACATTAGCGGCAACAACAGCTTAAGAAGATCATCATCAGTGGGTCTGATTTTTTCCAAAACATCCAGTATCCATGTTAAATACTCGTGCCTCTCAAGCATTCCTTCCTTAAAGGATTTAAAATAATACATCACTACTATGGGAGCACTAAACAAGAAGGTGTGTAATTGCAAGTTTTATCTCATTTCTGGTTTAGCTCTCATTACCCATGGCAGCACAGAGCTACCAAGACACTCAACCACCACTACACATGCAGGAACCAGCCACCATCATGGCAGCCCTATGGATAGGGAAGCAATTGCGTACAGCACCAATGATCTCTGCGGTTGGGATTCAGCAGGCTGCCTGATTTACTGCTGACAGACTGACTCCCTCCCAGCAACTCTTCTGCTATTTCTACCCTCGGGTAGAAATAACCAGAGAGTTATTCTGTGCTAGAACCGTGTGGAACCGAACAGCCAGGCCACCACTTGAACACCCAAGGCTTCATGTGCCACAGCAGCCTCAGCCTGATCCACAATCATTAAAAACACTCTTAAAAGATGGGATAATATAGAAGAGATGGAATAATTGAGTACATTGCTGCAATCGCAATCAAGCACACTAAGCAAATCAAAGCTTTTTCAGCTAGCAAATCTTTAAAATGAATTAGCATTTACAATTTATGCAAGTCTTATGACAAAAGCTTCCAGTAAGTTCTAAAATTGTACCTTCCAAGAATGGTAACCTCAAAAAAAAAAATCCATGCACTACTTAAAGCATTACCTGAAACATATAAAATGACAATTTTTCATTATAGTCCCACTGCTTCAGGGCTTGTTCCATCTCTTGAGGCATCCCTACAGAGCTGTTGCCTTGACTGGAAGTCACATGATAAAACTCCGCAACCTTTGCCAGCTGCTCTCGAAGGTATCTGGTTATAATTTGAGTCCATTCTACAAAATAAGTTTACAATTAGAATACTTCAGGTGACAAAAGGTTTCTTTCACATTGAGAATTGAAACAAACTTATACTGCCTTTGTCATTAAAAATATTCCTCCAAAACATTAACCCACAGTTGCATAATGCAGCACCTATTGTGAATTAATGGGCTTCTTACATGCCTCTCCTGTGCATTGGTCTCAAAGCACACATACTGTCAAGTGTGCAAGTAGCCTGCTAGCTTAGCATGATGTAAAAAGCACTGACACAAGGTATGTCTTTAGGGAACCACCTGTCTCTTTCATCAGATTTCAGCGTTCAGCCACAAAACAGCCTTGAAATAGATAAAATAAATATACTTCATTACTTCCTTCCATCTGCACCTTTACTCTCCTCTTCCTTCCCCTGTCCAAATATAGCCAACATAAAACTGAACGGGACTTTGCACAAGCAATGGTATATGAAACTGTTCTTTCTATAATCACTCTGAAACAGACAACTCCTCCAGATTTTTAGTCTGATGAGAATGCAAAAGCTCAGGAGCAGTTTCTTACATCAGAGTGACCAGCACAGTGCAGAGATCTGCTAGAAAGACTGGCTATCTTTCCTTTGTCCTAGATAAGTCAGCAGGTGCTGTTTAGCAAATACACAAACCTACTAAAAATTACCAGTTTTTCTCTCTGCTTCAGCAGTGATTCTGTATTTAGTATAACTTGGAGAAATTAGTGAACAAGAGTAAACTTGCTTGGTCATATACATAAAGCTTTGGGAAAAGAGGAATTGTAAGGAAGGCATTCTCTTAACAGTAACTGGAACAACCAAGGATATTTGTTAGTATCTCAGAGACAAACATCTGACAGAGCTGTATTTAATCAGCATGCAGCATATTTTAGAAGAGCACACTCTTTTATGAATACATAATGCAGTTGCTTTGACAACCTAAGCCTGTTTACTGTCAAGAGTTACAGGAACTACCACTCTCACACACAACTATTTTTGCTGTTTACTACCCACCTCAGACTTCAGCTAGCGCGTTCATTCTTTTTTCCCTTTGCATTTGTAATTGGCAGTTCTATCAACATATACAGACTATATGTTGAATGCTTTTCTATCCAAATCCACTGAAATTTCTGTAGGAAGCTAGTGGGTTTTAGTGTTTTCATAGAGCAGTTTAACTACATTCACTTCAAACATTCGCTCACTTTTGGAAAAACAATTCCAAATCCACTACTTCAAACTTATTTCATGTGACAGTATGAAAGAATAATTTTCCCAAAGCAATTACCAGTATCTCTGTGCCACTGAGTTAGAAACAATGCAACTGCCTTTCTGTTACCTGAGGCACAGATATAAAACATTTTGGGAACTGCCAAAGGCTGCTCAGTGACACGCAGCAAACTACTTCCCAAAAAGCTCTCAACCACCTTTGCAAAACAGGGAATTTGGACAGAGGACGTAACCTTCAGTAACCTACCTCAGAATACTCGCTGATAAAAGTCACGGGCACCTCAGCCCACAGACACTCCTACTGACTTCATTCATCCTTGCTGTGAAGCAGATGCCACCATGATGCCAGCCCAAAGCAGAGCCAAACCAGGAGTACCGCTCTACCCCACCAGGGCACACTACCACCTTGTACCTTCCCAGTAAAAATAAATTCCTTTTATTTTAAAGAGCTACTACTCCCAGCCAGAGCAAACTAGGTCTAGATCAATTTATCACACCAGAGTGGACAACCTTAGCTTTCCTCACCTCCTCCTTACTCCCCTTTCTCCCCGACTCCCAGACAACCAAGAAAGAGGGTGTTTGTTTTAACTACATGCTAATGAGTACATGTCCCAAGAAAAGGAACAGCCCCCAGCATCACCATTTCAGTTCCCCTAGGAAAGCCACAGATGCTCTCTTATCACTAGCAGAGCTACTCATGACAGAATAGGAAAGCAATCAGCCTGCTCTCGCTGCCTGCTCCAAGCCTTCTCCTAGGGTCTACCCCAAAAAAAGCTTACATCATTCAAGAGAAAAGGGAAGACAACCCGAGAGGTTGGAGAGAGGGGCTGTTTCAGCATCCCTTGGCGCAAAGGACAGAAGGGGAACGTGAGAGAAGGAAAGAGCGAGTCACCCAGCCCCACTTGGCAGTGCCAAAACAGCTCAAAGGAGCCTGAACCCATCCCGTGTCAGAAAAGGAGTGGGGAACTGTGCTAATCTCCCACCAAAACAGCACTGACCTTACTACAGAGAAGCTAACCCCAGCACAGCAGCCTCCCAGAGTTTATACAACAACGGAGGCAACAACTTGACTCTTTTCCTTCTTGCCAGTCACACGCGCTGCCTCCCCCTTGCTCTCTGTCTCTAAAAATCAGACTGATTTTTAAAAATATTTTTAAAACTATCACCAAAGAACAAACATAGGTTGTTTGCTAGAAAATAGAACATATACTTTGGGGGCTTTAACTAGGAACTCGGAGTGAAAACTAGTGTTATGAGCCTACAAATAATAATAAAAGAAAAAAAAAAACCACAAAGCAAAGTTTGAAAGAAACAACAGAATGAGTTGGCAGGAAGAAGTAGACATTTCTCACAGCAGTACAGAGATGCTGCTAAACAGCAATGAAATTGTCTGTTCTGAGCAGTTATTTTGAGGACAAGGAAGGAAAATGTTCATTCTAGACAGTAGAATAGCTGTAGGTAGCATACGTAAATTGAGAGAATAAAACTACAACTTTGATAATAGTTAAAGTACCTTTGAACACCTTAAAGGTGTTCACTGCTTGGCCCACTGGCTTGGTGCCAGACAGTGTCATTTAAGGTTAGTACTTGAAATAAATACATTGCCACCTATGTTCTAATAAGTAAGCTTTGAAATTCACATTTCATTCCAGGCTTTCTAAAAAAGCAAAGTTGAAAGAAACAACAGAATGAGTTGGCAGGAAGAAGTAGACATTTCTCACAGCAGTACAGAGATGCTGCTAAACAGCAATGAAATTGTCTGTTCTGAGCAGTTATTTTGAGGACAAGGAAGGAAAATGTTCATTCTAGACAGTAGAATAGCTGTAGGTAGCATACGTAAATTGAGAGAATAAAACTACAACTTTGATAATAGTTAAAGTACCTTTGAACACCTTAAAGGTGTTCACTGCTTGGCCCACTGGCTTGGTGCCAGACAGCGTCATTTAAGGTTAGTACTTGAAATAAATACATTGCCACCTATGTTCTAATAAGTAAGCTTTGAAATTCACATTTCATTCCAGGCTTTCTAAATTAGCAGTTCTGTTCATTCCCTGGTAACATTTATCTTAGCACAGCCTTTGCCACTCCTTCCAACCCCACAGAGACCAATGTCAGTGGTGAAGATGCAGCACAGTCAACTCCTCAGATGCTGCACCTGGAGATCTACGGAGGAATCAGCTGGGAGGAGAAGCAGCCAACAGGGCAGTATTTATGCTGCATGGCTCTTTGTACTCTTTGACACACATTTCTAAGCGAAATTGATTTAAAAGAATTTTTATTCCCCTTCCTGCTACGAAGATTCCTCTCTGGACACCTAGTAACACCAAAGTCACAAACAAGAGGAGCAGGCCCCTTCAGCTATTATTATGCACTTAGACATTAGAGATGTTTGTTTACCAATATTTGGGTCAGTGGCCTGGCGTTTCTTGATTTTAGCTTCAGAAATAGCAGCGTAGTAGGCACATGTCATTTTGATCAGCCATGCCGCTCGCAGCAGTGGCACAGAATATTTTGCTAAGTAAGCAAAAACATCTTCTTTTTTACTGAGAATAGGAACCTGAAATGAAACAGGAAGCAAGTTATAGCACACAGTCCAAACAGCAGCTGGCACCTGCAGGTTAGCCCAGGCCTCTTCTGCTCAACCCTGCACTACCTGGAGAATGGCAGACCTCTTCACCAACCTAGGAACCCACTACACCAACACGTATTGTCTAGACACATAGAAACAGAGACTTGACAAAAGAGAGATACTGCCCCACACTTCCCCCAGGTGTCACTGGGAGCATCCTTCCCCCGCTCAGAGATGCCTGCAGGGCCACTAGCAAACCTCTCGACACAGCCAAAGGCATCTAAAGTGCAGAAAGAGTCCTGCAAGCTGATCCTCAGAACCTCTGGAAAATGGAAATAGATGAATTGGGTAAGGGCTCAATTACACAGATGCTGCCATTTTCATGGGTGCCCCTGGTTCAGAGGAGTCCATAATAACCAGGGCAACACAGCCTGGCCAGCTAATACTGCCTGCACTGGCCACGCACGCAACGGGACTGGTCCCACAAGACTTCCAGGTGAAAAGTCACCCTATTCTGTCACAGCAATCCTTACATCTTTCTGTATAAAGGTAGAATAATTTTAAAATGCATTTTTAAAGCAACATATATGAGAACAAGACATTTCACATCCAGTGGAGACAGAAGGGAGTGGAGGCACAAATGCTACACTTACTACGCCCTACCAAAAAATCCTCATTAGTCTTCAAGCATACTCGACCTTTCTAACAGAGTACCTGGAGAACAGAGGTGCATCAATGCTTAAGAGAGCAGCAAACAAAGCACTAACCCTCTTCTGCAATGCTCTCCAGTGGTCAGTCAGGGACTGTGCAGAATCAGTTTCACAGTGTTCTTAACATGCTTATTTACTGTTATCAGCAGGTTTATATATCTGGTTATTTAAACCAAAACTTAAATAATGAAAGAAATCTCTTTAGCACTTCTATTCACAAAGTTATCCTCTCAGAAAGTTAGGGGGAAACTTAAGTTGGTGGCATGCTTGCCACAGCAAAGCTCTTGTTTTTCTGGTGCCAAAGCAGCACACATTCTTCACCAACTGCATGGCAACAGACCAAAAACTGGTGAAACTTGTACCTTCTGTTATTTTGGTCCATTTATGCTCAATATTCTTGGAATAAGAGTTCCTTACTGCAGTTTAATTTATACTCAGAATAACTCCCAGATGCTGTAAGATTAGCTGCTTGTACACAGAGCTTCAGGAAAGAAAGGCACGAATAACAGCACCTTTGTTACTGTGTTCTAGACACCACCTTGGATGAGTTTTAATGACCACTTCAAATTTATCTTGTACTGCTGTTCTTAACAGCATGCAGTATCCAAAAAGATAGCTCAAATTTGCCTTTTCCAGTTATACAGACTGCTACAAAGCAGCAAGAATTCTTCTCCTTATTTGGAAACTTAAACAAGAATGCAACTAATAAGACTTAGCAAAGATTCTTAATACAAATACACATTTAAATGTGAAGAGCATGCAAAGGGGTTGGAGTTAGCAAGCAGGTTCTTTTAAGAATGCATCAGCTTCCTAGACAATTATTTCCCTGCCAGACATGAGAATTTCTGTGAACTGTTCCTCTGCTTGAGAAAGAGACTGTTGAAGTGAAGCATACAGGCAAAGAATCTGGATGTCAGTAAGGTAAACATGCCTGAGCTAAAATATAGTTATTCAAAGGAACTTTTTACCAGCTAGATCAGAAGTTCCCCTTTGCCCAGGCACCCTCCTTGCAGAGAGGGAACATGCTCAGAGCAGCAGCTGCCTCCAGCACCACTCCACATCCAGCACGTTCAGAAATATTGCCCTATTCTTATAGCCCAATTCAGTACAATCCAATATGCAAGAAATAGAGGAAGGAGTATTTTGATACCTTTTTTGCTAAAAGAGTCAGTGGTTTACTTCCTGCTAAATCTGTGAACCAGTTGTGAATTGCACTCTGAGACCGAGCAGTAACCAGCCAGTAGTTGTCTTTGGCATTTACTTGTGGTTTCTTCTTTCCTGTGTCCTGGAAAGTGTTAAGTTTTAGCTTTTCCGCTAATATGCTGCTAAAGTAAGCGCCAATCTGGTGGGGAAAAAAAGCAAAACATATATGACAACCCAGTAAGCAAGCATCTATCGTACATTAATGCACAAAGGATTTCCATCTGAATACACAGTCATCACTCTAGTCCAGGCTATCAATCTAATAAGATTACGCTGTAACTCCCTGCAGCTAGGCGATGGGGATTCATGATATTAAGCACCGTTGCAACACTTCTGCATTATCATTATAAAAGCTGCGGGCCAGCAAAACCAAGCCAAAGATGACCAGGCCTCAGAGATACTAAAGGTGCAGCTGCCATCTATGACAGGTCACTGTGAATGCCCAGAGCCACATCCCTCCAACAGATGAGTCTCTCAGATTTAGGCCCCGATTCAGTGTATTCTAAGAGTGTCTCGGAACATTCCTCCCCTTCTACACTTTACTATACCATGAAGTGTGTAAATACACGCTTTACACTTCTATTTAGAACAAACTGCACTGTCACAAGAACCACATTCATTGTCTTTCCATCATCAGTTACAGCAGGCAAAACTTCAAAGATTCGGATAAGCTAGGAAGTGTTCTGACTTTTATTCAAAACACCTCCACTACCACTCAATACCTCCAGAATGAAAAGCTTTGTAAGATTTGCTTCCCCAGTACTTTCAATGCCAAAACAGCAGAAAAAAGCCCAGTAGAGGTTTTACTTCCCATGTAAGCTTATTTACTTTTCAAAATTACTATAATAGAAATTAATTTTTAGGCCTGTCAGTAAGAATAAAATGTTTGATTTTCTAATGAATATATTCATAGTTGGGTAATTTTAAAATCTGTGAAAAGGTTTTAGGAGATACTGAACTTATTTTGGTAATTCTACACTTAAATCTTCCAAATAACTATAAGCACTTCCTTGTGAATTTCTGTTTTACTTTTCAAACAGTTATGTCCAATAGTCAAAACATGAATAATTAAAATATAAGACAGAAAATGCCTGCAGGTAGCAATTCTAGAAAACAAAATCAGAAGAATGTAACAGGAAAACCTTTAACATTTCAACAATAGCAACCCTGTCATTTCCTTGTATCTCTTCTCCTGCTACAATAAAAGAGCGTCACTGTAAATTCACATTTTCCAATAAGCCATAAAAAGTTATATATTTTAAAAGTCAAACAGCAGAAAATTACTTTGTCTGAAAACATTTTTATAAGCTTCTTGATAACATTCTCTTTCAAAACCATTTCTTCCTGCTTTCCCAAGGAAGGGGGGGGGGGAGGGGGGGGGGGGGGGGAAGTACATGAATCTGGACAGATCCCGCAAAGAAATACAGGATGGTTTTTTTTCTAAAAAGCTATTGTTTTCAATTTGTAGGATAGTAACTAACATTTTAGTGATTTTTATTGCTCTTTTGTATCTCACACTTCTTTGACTCTCAAAAAAACCACAGGAGAGCTAAGTTAAATTTCACTAAACAATCCAAGAATACATTTCCAAGAGACCTGGACCACAGTGACCAGTTTCTCCTGGCAGAAAACAGCCTGATGAAACAGATACAAGACCAAAGCAAGTTAAAGACGTGTAAACACTAGGAACTTTCAGGGAAGGAGTCACTACTGTCTTCGTAAGTAAAGCAAATAAAAGAACAGGAGCAAAAATTAATGTCTCTTCTACAATGAAGCGTGCTAGTTACGTTTTGTTCTTGGCATCCATGTTTTCCTCTGAAGGCTGATAACACTAGGTAGCAGAAACACAGCTCAGTATTCTTATACTAGTTCTGTAATTAACTTCAATATGAAAACTTCCAACGAGAAAGCAAAGCAGTCAAGAAACAAGTACAACCACTGCCAGCTTGGTTCCAATTTCAATGAGTATACTCAGACCGAAAAGCCCTGTCTTACCTTTGAGGCATTAATGACAATATTTCTAGCAGATCCATGCTCATCTCCAGAGAAGGCAGGTTGATTACTGAAGCCTTGCTTTACATTCACTGCAGTAAGTTCATCCTGCAAAGAGTGTTTTAAGGGCAAAAAATGAAATGACAATTGAAGAAGTCACATCATTCTGAGAAGCATGTTTTTATAAAGAAAATTTATGTATTTGCTAGCGTGTCACACTCTGCATTCACCTGAACCCTCAAAGCACTTTGCACATTCGTGGGATTTCAGTGAAGGGGAACACAATGCCACTCCTACCCTCCAGTCCCCATTAAGTGTTTGCCTTACTACAGACTTCAAGGCCGTAACTTGATAAGGATGCCACTTGTTTTGCTGAAAGAGGACTGCTGCCCATGAGAAAGGCAGCAGGAAACAAGACCTTGGCAGCCTTCGTAAAACCTGGAGCGCTGCCCAGCACCCAGCCCTAAATCTTCCTCATGAAAGTGGTGCCAGTCACCAGCCATCCTGACCAGCGGAGGGAGAGCAGCACATCCTCCTCTCCTTGAGATACACTGGGATCGCTGGAACCAGCTGCATCGCTCCACCACAGAACGCTGCTGCACACCCCTCGTTACCACCAGGACCCTACATGTCCCTTTCCCCAGCACAAAAAAAGTTTCTGCATCGTTGTTTTGTTGAAGTTTAAAATGTTACTATTTCAGTTTGCAGCCTCACAACCACCATTTGAGAATCTCTACCAAAATAAGAAACAGACCACCTCTAGCAGAAACAATTTCAAGTAAACATCTGTCCCTGTTCCCGCTTCCTCTGGAGTTACTTTCACAGTGGAAGTATTACTAGTCTCCTGCTACACTATTAACACACCTTCATTTTGCTGCATATCGGTATTTAAGCAGGCTTAGCTGGATCATATTCGCAGCAAGAACACAGAACAGACAGAAGTGGGGTCAGTAGCATTAGGTGCACACACATACCCAAGGCTTCATAAATGCAGAATGTAACTTCCTAAGCAAGCCCCATCCTTCCCTATCTTCACCAAAGTTAACATTTTTCCACGGAGGCTGTGCAGTTTATTCACTTATTCAGGACCACACGCCTGTCAGACCGAGGTTTACCTACACCAGATGAATGGGAACTTGGCTTGTTTGTTTTTCTTGATCTCCCTCTGAAGAGAAGGCACAGATCTCCCCCAACGAATCAGTTACTTGCCACCAAAGGTACTCTACAGAAGCTCAAGTGGTCCACGGACCACTGGCAGTGGGTGAGATGCTGGAACAATCCCCAAGATGACTGTGAAATAACCTATGAAAACAAAGACCGACCACCATGCAACCAAGCAAATAAAATAGGAGAAAATACAGTTAAAAATGTCATCATTTTACTAGAAGATTTTATTACTAGTTTTGGGCAACATGTCTCCCCAAAAACAGAAACCCAGAAGCTTCCATTCAGTTTATTCTCTGACGCTTTGCAACGCATTTTGCTTTTCAGTATTTTCACAAAGTTTGGAAGCAACACAGAAGACAGTAATGTATTTAGAAGAAATCTAAGCTCTCTAGGGTTTATGAAGTTAGCAAGCTTCATCTGAATTTTAAATGAAATCAACAAGAAGTGCTGGAACACTCCTCCACCCACACTATCCCCAAGATAGCCTTGAAAACACAGATAAAGGCAGAGATGAAAGTGATCAAAGATATCATAAGCAAATAAATAAAAGGTAAATGACAAACAGATGGAGATATATGTTACTATTAGTGCTATTTCTACAAATGACCCCAGTTCTGTTATCTTTAAACTTTTCCTCTTTTGAAAAAAGCTGTCTAGATATCATTATGCTGAAAATAACTAAGAACCGTATGTTGTACTGCTATATCTACCACTACTGTAGGAACAAGCTGTGGATGGACTGACAACACAAACACATCAGTGTTTTGGTTTTGTCTGGCTCAGATTATTAGCTCAGATTTCTCCCTGCCTTCAGCAGTAGTTCAGAGATTTTAAACACAGAACGTAGCACAGTTGCATAACCAAACACCAACTAGAAATGAAAAGACATGTCATCTGTGAACACAACGCACAGAGATACCTTTACAAATTAACAATAAAATGGATGTTCACAGGAGCTCTCATTACACCTCACTTACGCCAGCTCCATTAACAGCTCAGGGTCATTTTCTAAGAGCACAGCTGTCCCCTAGTAGAGGGGAAAGTTTCCTGGACAAGCAGGCAGGAACACCAGCACAGCTAAGTTGTACAATACTGAATGTACCAGAGTTAAGCCCGCTTTCACTTGGCTTGGTTTGCAAGCCCTCTCCTAATGACAGACACAGGAGCACCGCACGCTGCTGTCACTAAGTGATGCGCTCTGCGCTGCAACACTCTGGATCCTCTGGGCTCCTGCAGGGATGTCAAGCTTCCTTTCAAAATGTCAAGCAGGGCCCCAAGCAAGCCCAATCAAGGCTTAAAACCCTTTTGCAATTTTAAATAGCCAAATGAACATTCAGGCCCAAATTGCATTAATTTGCTTCAGAAATAATTTTAATTGTTTCGTGTGGGTTATTTAAGACCCACCGATATATCTGCAGCACTCCATTTGTGAACACAACACGTACAGATGGATATCTTTACAGAAAGAAAGCCCGACAAGTTCAGGCCAATGTTCACAGGAGCTGAGCATCATCAGCTCTGCGAGAAGTCAGACCCCAACTTAAGTCTGTGTGCGTTACTCCACTCCATCGCAACTGTGACTCCTGCAAAGCATGTTCAGAGGAGGCCACCTGTAGCACTTACCCAGCCGGCTGCACTCAGGGCACTCAAATCTAGACCAAGAACAAATGAACCGACTGTTAGGATCAAGCATTGAGGCGTTGTTGGGTGTTCTGGACTGTATAATTCCATATTAACTTGCTTTTAATGAATAGGAACGAGCTCTTTCAACTTAAGCATTCTCCTGCTTCCTTATTACTGCAGTTACGCTTGCTTACTGCAGCACCAAGCTAGTAAGAGAAAAGCAGAAAGCTAATGATTTATAAAGGTTTTGAAAAACTGGCCAGTTTATTCTGACATCTAAGCTGAGCAAACAGACAATGTATAGAGCTATACCAGACTATTTGACAGTCAAAAACAAGGAATTTTTGAAATTTTGAAATTTTCTCCCTAACCTCAAAAATTTCCTTCAGAAGATAAATTTAAAAGAAGTTCATATTAAACTCATGAAAGCAACAAAACAGATCTTTTTAACCAGTCATCACTTTTAGATCCTCTCACATGCTCAATCTTTTGTTTCGTGTCTCTTTATTACAACAGGACACCTACTTTCAGCAGCTTGGAGCAACCATAGCATTAGCTTGGAGACGCAAACCCTCTGCAGGAAGGTCCAGGATTTCAACCTGTGTTGTAGCTGCTGCAGCATAAACCTTCCACTCATGCTCAGCTTCCGCTATGTTGGGCTTGGTTTGAACAACAAGATCAAAAAATAACTCCCTGAAAGAGACAGTATAAAATACTGTGCCAGATATAGATTACTAAACAAGCTATATTTCACGATGAAGAGAGGAATAATGATACTTAGAGGAGCATTATCCACTCCGAATCAAAGGCTCAGAAGTCACAAACAAGGATTAGCCATATCCAACAGCCAACCACAGGGAGAAGCAACTTTTGCCAGAGACTAGGAAGATGACATACTGGCCATGTTATAAACAGATACTGAGAGCAAGAAGGAAGATTGGTCTCGTGTAATACTGAAGGGCCCAGAAAGACAGGTCTATTCCCAACTGGCATAATACTGGAGAGGCCTCTCTGACAGAAACTTCAACTGCTATACCCATCTTACTGGTGAGAAGGTGGTCTGGGCTACTGGTGATTGTAGAGCCTTGGAAGGGTCAAACCCTGTGCATTATGTGTGGAGAAGGCAATGAAATTCCTTCTGTCTGAAGGCTCTTTCTCAGCATAAAATGATGTCGATTGTGCTTTTTTGTGCTTTGAAACTGGATTCAACTGAAGTTAAAAGCATTACTCAAGAGCAAAATCATCAGGATCTGGCCCTGATGATATGGTACATTCAGTGGTTCTATCTTTGGCTTGTAATAAACACAATTTGCATTATATTTTATCCATCTTAGGGAGACAGTAACAATTTAGAGCACAGGAAGTGTTAGAAAAAAAGTTGATTCTAACACCTGCCTTCAGACGCTCCTGCCAGAGCAGGATTTCCAAACCTACCTTTTGCTCCACAATCAGCAGCAGGGATTGCTGATTATACAGAGAAAATACATGCAAAGCACTGTCCAACGTTCAAAGAAAACACATTACAGAGAGACAAGGAAAGCTAATTCCTCCTAATCTTTCTCTTTTAGGGCAGTATCAGGTGTTACAAGTGGCCCCAGCAGGTAACTGCATTCAAGCAGAAGCTATGTGCTATGCAATTTGAAGACTTCCCTTCCACAACCCCCTTATTTCTGCAGAGAGCATTTTGCACACAGGGCACACGCCAATGCTCAGGGGCTAAGCATTACCCCAAGCTTTCATGAGGGGACCTCACAAAGGATGCAGATTTCCACCTGGCACTCAGGTGAACGGGCTCAGGAGCTGGTTCTGGAGCATGAATGCCCAGGGCCCCTGGAGGTGCCAGCTCCTAGCAGAGAGGGAATTTAGAAAAGCACAGGGCAACAGTCAGCAACACCAACGTCACCAGACAGCCCATTCCCACCTCTACTAGGACCTGTAATGCTGCATTTGCATCCTTTTTCAAATGATAGATAGACTTCACCAACCCAAAGGCTGGAACAACACAGGACTGTATCCTGTAAACGCCCGGTGCAACACACACTAACACCGCCCATACACACGTGGAATGAAGACTTTCCCCAAGCCACATTTCAATCAATTATGTTATGGCAAATAACAATGAACCTGTTGCAGTTATTTTCTACTTACTAATGCACCCATGTAACATATTTTAAATATTAAACACCTGGGAACTTGCCATTTCCATTCTTATTGTAACTGGCCACATATTCATAAATGTGTCTGCAAGAATCAATCCACCACCTGACTAAAAACATGCAGCAGTCCAGAGCTAAAAATTCATCTCCATACATTGTCATAGCTGAGTTCAGATACAGTTTTGCAAGCCTGGTCATGATCACACATAAAAAATACACGTTAGAGAAATATTTCCAGTTACCATAATCATCAAGTTTGTAAGTATGATGAGTAGCAGAATAAGGGTGAAAAGACAGAAAGATGCTAGAGTCAAAAAATTGAGATATGTCTCAAAGGATTAGTAATGGACTTGAATACGCATCTTTTATTGCGTGTTGTCCAAGCTCCTCTCAACCAGCACTGACCAATAGTCACTCTCTGATAAGCGCTCTCCAGCCTATGGGAACCAGATGATAATGCTCATAAACAACTAACAAATTACCCTTAATTAGCCTCCTTTCTGGAAGTCTCAACAAGACAACAGACCAGGAAGAGAGCAAAGCCTGAAGAACGTTGCATGGCTACCCTGCTGTAATTGCTCCATTTAACTGGAGCTCATCCTCATTGTCAGCCTGATGACTTCTACAAGTGCCAAATTCACCGGGACAGAAGACAGCCCAGAACACCAGAACAACAGGACATCCTAGACAAACCCTGCAAGAGGCAGGGGAATCTGGCGCACACGGCTTCGTGTACGAGTCACAACACAGCACGCGAGGCAAATCTCAGAGAGACCCGTTAACTTTGCTGGGAGACATCCCGTTCATAAAACCCTACCAGAGGATTCTCCACCCACCTACGGAGGACCGGCAGCCCGGAAACAAGATCGGGAAGCCGGGCCAGGGAGAGCCTACAACCAACCCCACGGCTTTGCTGGGCGTGCCAGCCATGTCACAGCACCCGCCTGAACTACACGCTTGCCCCCAGCACTGACCGACGGCGGGTCTCCATAGGTTTGGTTGTGGTACCTGGGAGTAGGACAGCCACAGCCTGACACAAAAGTACAAGCTACAGGCCCCGCTCACTGCCGCCCTGTGGTTTTGGATACATTTCTCGACCTCCAAAAGCCTCCAGCCCTTTCGTTCCTCCAACCACAGGTCCCTGCTGTCAGGTCAGAAACACGGGTAGGCAGTTCAGCAGGCCCACGCTCGCCCCAGCCGGTGGCACCTCTCACCCTCCGGGCAGCCCGTGCCCCTCACGGGCCAGGGGTGCCCCTCACGGCAGGTGGCTGTCCCCCTCACAGGCCAGGGCTACCCCCCATGGTGGGTGGCTGTATCCCTCAGGGGCCCATGCCCCTCATAGGCTGGGGGTGCCCCTCACGGAAGGTGGCTGTGCCCCTCACAGGCCCGTGCCCCTCACGGCAGGTGTCCCGGTCGGCGGCCCGGCCCCTCTGC